GCTGCTTTGTTCCAAACAAGTGACAATGCCAAGCGGTGTCCTGAGCTCTTGCGACACTCCCAGCAAGGAAAGAGGGCTCAGCTTGGCAGGCGGCTCAAATACCAGGGCGCGTAGTTACATCCTCACACTGTGGGACTCACCCTGAGAGCAGCCTCCCAATTCAAGCTGAAACTGGGACAGCTTTGAGCACCAGGGCCAGGGCCCCAAATGCAGACTGAAAAGTCTGTACGGTGACTCTGAATCTTTAACAGAAAGAACAATCTCAAGACCTAAAATATTCATTATTTGGAGGGTAATGAAAAACTTGTAACAAAAAGAAAGAAATGGTCACTCCTTTCTGTTTGGTCTCCTGGCACAATGTTGGAGGGCGATTTTCATTTTATTCAAGGCTAAGGCTGACTCTATCACAGCATTTGTTTTTCATCTTTGGAAGGTTTGAAGAAATACGGCTTTATTGCCTGAATTAATAAAAACCAATGAGGTGTAATAAACATTCTAACGCTTTAGATGAAAATTACCAAGTACTCTCCAAGTCCTCCTCCTGATCTAACATGCACTCTGAGCCTGACTTCTGTCCTTCTGGTGCTCTCAATGACATTTATATGACCCTGCGGTGCCACCAAGGAGGANCGAACCCTCGGGCGGGAGCGCCGCCGCGCTTCCCAAGCAGCGCACTTATCCAGTGCACCACTGGGCCGGACCTAAATGAAGAACTTTATAGAAACAAATCCACCACTATTTCTACTTAGCCAAAGATGAAGCATTACTGTGGTCTGTTCACAATAACATTGGAGAATAAAGAAATTTAGCATATTCTAGAACAATACAAAATATCTCCCTGCCTACAGGTCAAAACTTATATAAAATAGAAAGAAATTTATAATCATTATCAAGGCGCCTGAGTGCTTTAAAAAGGTGCCTGAGTTCTTTCTTTCAAAATTGGTCAGTTATTCATTCATTCTTAAATCAACTGTCACATCTGAGCATTCCAGTCTGGAGAGGACCAAAAGACACTGTTGTCTATTTGGTTCAACCATACAGGCTGAATGGAGCAACATAACAAATGATATCCATCTTTCCAACCCCACTCCAAATCCTCCAACTACAAAACCAGAAATAAGCTCAGCTGCGATCTATAATATTTCCATTAACCCTGCAATGAAGCATTAAATTATACTGCTTAGCACAGATTCTTCTTTCGATACAAGGAAAAATGTACCTTGTGAGGCCTGTGTTTTATGCTAATAGATTTACTAACCAACTACATGTTTACAAGAGAATACAAATAAGCAAAATAATTTGGCAAATTATGAAATGTCCAGTGGGGGTATTGCAGCAACCGATTTCTTTTTCCTGATAATACTTAGTATAAACATTTTGGTTACAGAGAGTTTAAGCCTTAAAAAGAGCAGTTCTCAAATTGTTCATGTTTTTATGGAATTTTGAAACCAATACTTTATTAATTACAGAAAAAAAGACGATTTGAGTTAGAACTCCAGTGAAAAGCCTTTTGTCATCCCAGATATAAATCACCACCCTGGACACTGGGGGGCCTCTAAGGAGAACATA